CTTTGGGCATGTTTTTATGAGAGTGTAACATTATAACATGAAATGAAGCTCAAAAAAGTTGATTTTACATGATTTTGCCCCTTTAACATAAAAACATATTTGAAGCAGTCATCCTCTAGTGTATTCAAACAGATTGATGTCATCGTTGCTTTACTGAGTCTCAGTTGGGCCCGTCAGAACATCACACAGCACACTCCGGGATCTGTTTCCTTTAGTTGACATCTCCGCTCACACACCTGAGTCAGAGGATAGACAAAAACACAGCAGCCTGCTGAGAACAGAGCACTGCACGAGGCTCCTGCAGAGCAACAATAATGTTTAGAAGTTGGTTTTATGCTGTTCTGACCAGCATCAAATGAGCTCTCAGATGTAGATTCTGTTCTAAAATTATACTTAAATAAAAAAAAGAGTCGCTTATAATCTCCATCTCTCTCACCTCGAAACAAGTCCAGGACAGAAACCTGGTCCTACCTCTCCAGTTCCTCCGAGGTGTTTCCAGACCAGAGAGGGTATGAGCCCTCCAGAGGGTTCTGGGTCTGCAGGGTCATCCAGAAGAAGTCGTCCAGGAGGCATCTTCATTTTTTAAAATGCACTTCTCGAATTAACAGAACATTTCAAAGTTCAACACAAAGTTATATCACTGCTTAAAACTCATTTTTACTCCCTGGTCTTTCATTCTGGTAGAGTTTGAGATCCTTTTAAAGATGTTTTTAATGTTTTCTCTATTTTAAATTGATCTTATTGTTTACATTTATGTGTTGCTCTGTTGTTMTATTCATTTGGCTGAATTGTGAAGCACTTTGGTCAACTTTTGTTGTTTTTCTGTGCGGTATAAATAAATAGACAAACCGACGTTAAAGAGATAACAGTTTGCAGTTCAGGCCTGTAAAGATGAAAACAGTTGGAACTAGACATGGGTTTTTACGATGTAAAAACAAGTGTGCATTGCCATGTAGCATGTCATTGCAGCATGGCTTTGCCTGCAGCATTGGACTTGCAGAACGAACTTTGACCAAGTTCAAATATGTTTTCTATACCAGCTTGTGCCTGTCAAGTCAGCAGCTGTTTGTAATTAAGGTAATTGTGTGACAATATGAAGTTTGAAGAGATAGATTTTTTGTTTAAAGTGCGTTAACTGGGCTTTGAACCCTGACCTCCCACATGAAAGTCCATGACATAGACTGTTAGACCAATGGAGATGTGGCAGGGTGTGGTGCCAGGGGTTGGTTTGTATGTGTGCAGAAAGAGGCCACATTGCCAATACAATTATTGACACAAAAATGCATATTACAACAACAGAGCAGTATTGACAATATTATAGTAAAACATCAAAATACAATCATATTAGTATTTTAAACACTGAACTATTGAGATTAAATATAAAAAAACTATGGTGCAGTACCAAGTTGAGTACAGCTGGGGGCAGTATTGGACCATTACAAGGCCCCACTGACTGCCATTACATGAATTTGGAATAAAGTTTAAACATTAACATTTCAAAAACTACAAGTTTTACAGGCACCAAAAGGCATAGCCAACATTTGGCACAGTAGCTTTACAGATATAAATTACAACGGCAGCTCTAGGACAAAGTCTGCAGGAGGAGAAGCATGGCAAAGTTGAGATGACTTGGATGGGAAACAAATCACAATAGTGTGCATTGCACTGATGAGTGGAGCCTCGTGGGCTGAGGAGTGTTTCCAAAGTTTTTTTGGAAGTTTTTTTTCCTGTTTTTTTTAAGTAAACTAAAATAAAAAACTGATATAATAAAGTCTCATGAAAAATGTTTTCTCCATTGTTCATTTTATTGTCTTAATCATTTAAATTTGGTCTACATAAAAACAGGATCTGATCAAAAACAATTACTGAATCAGGGATTTGTTTTTAATTGAAGACATTCTGTCAACAGATTCCCTGAGAACCAAATTTAACTTCTATTTTTGAATCAGTCCCACATTTAATTGATTTATTTTTTTAAATCAGAGGCAAACTCCATGTAACTGCAGTCAGCGCAGCAGCAATAACCTTCAGAAAAAAGCCTAAACAAACCCACACAGGTCACGCCTAAAGTTGTCATTTTATATATTTGTATATATTCATATATTACACATTTAATACAGGCACAAGAAGAAATCATCAAACAGACAGAAATGGCAGAAATATTGATAAAAACATGAGAATCATTTACACAATGTTGCTGTTTTAACTTTGATACAACTGAATAAAGGTAAAAAAAATAAAAAGCAGAGGCCCTGTTTGTGTGTTTATGGTGTGTGTGAGGGGAAGCTTGGAAAATGGATTTAAAAAGTATTTTTGTTTTCGAAGTGGGCAGCAAGAACCAGCTTGCTCAAACTAATCAGTAACAAAATTTGTGTACTTATTTTTGAAATTTGGATTTGGGTACCAAAAAAAACAAAAGTGTCAACAATTTATTGAGACATGTTCTTTAACAGTACAAATATCTCCAGATAGAATTTCTAGATTTCTTAAAAATGACTTTAAACAACATTTTGTTAAATAAAAATGTTTAGGATTAGTGTTTGCGGAGTATAAAAGGGAAAATTTAATAATGAAAACATTAGTATAAACACCTAACAAATGAGAAACCATCGGTTTTTTTACAGCTTCGAATTTATAAAGTTGTCAAATCGTTCCTGATAGAATCACCTATAAACCAGGTAAAAACTACAAGCTGGGACTTTTTAACTACGAGGACGATAAAAAAAACCTGATATTAAAACTAGTTTCTTGGTCTGAGAGGTCAGCTGGTCACATGATGTCGTGTCAAAAACCAACATTTCATCATGGCTTCAAGGCATCGCAGCAGAGGAGGAAATATTTCATCTCCTGCTGATTCTGTAAGTTAGCTCACAAAAAAATAAAATAAAATAAACAACAAGCCGTAAATTCAAACAACAATTAAGTATTTGATTCCTGACACATTTGTGTCATCTCTCATAAGTTTCCAGGTTTGCACAGACTTGGCGGGATTTTAACCCACTCCTTTTTACAGAAACTTTATAAACCCTTTAGGTTTTTTAGCTACTTTAGCTCCCACCTCAGAGTCTCTACAGCAGTGGTTCCCAAAGTTGGGGTCAGGACCCAAAGTGGGGTCCTGAAACATAAAGGTGGGGTCTTATAAAGATTTTCTGAATTAATTAAACTAAAAATTGAGAATTAACAATTTTTATTTGCCTTTGTTACAAAAGAGTAAGGTTAGTGTACTTACAATGGACAAAAATTGCGTAATGATTATTGTTGCTATGCCCTTGTTTATTTGACGTGAAAGCAGTGTTTATCAACAAACAACAGTTGGGGGCACAGGTCTCTGATGATGGTATTTTGTGGGTCAAAAGCTGAAACGTTTGGAAACCACGGCTCTACAGTACCAAGGTCTGAGAACTGGCTAAACCATGACATCATCGTTAACCTGCTTCTACAGATACAGCAGTCTGTTTTGGGTCAATGGGCCTCATGCAAGAKCCGTTCGTACGCACAGATTTGTTCTTAAGTTGTGCGTACGAGTGATTTAGGAGAATTTGTGGCATTCACCAATGTTTTCATATTCTACGATTTTTTTCAAATACG